AGAAATCTGCATAGTCTTTTACAAAATTAACACATTCTAAATGGTATCTCGTTTCCAGACTGCACAATTTCGGAAAAATTTAACACAACTGCAGATATAGTTTTGTAAAGCTACAATAGATCAAATTATTCGAGATCTGTGTGCAAATGTCAGTTCTCGACGATTTTCGAGGACTTWGTGAGAGTGCCATCCGTACTAAGCAGATATAATATCAATTATCATTGTCAATACTTACCCAGGACAAATTCCCATTGTTCACATCCCAGTGACCTTTCGGGCACGACGTCCAACGTTAACATTTTCTCTCACGCCTAAATTACCTAATATTGAAGGTAAATAAATAAAACCATAAACGCTAACACTAAAATATCGCGGGACTATAGCACGGAAAAGACGTCCGTCTCCGAGAGTGAGAGTGATGGCAATGGCATAAGCGCATAGCCGTCCGTTCAGCCAACAAATAAAAATAAAAAAWAAATTGTAAAAAAAAATTGCGTAAACGACCGATTGGCCTTTAAACGACGGAACGACTATAATAATATTACAACAGCGCGAGGAAATGATTACGAACGTATTTATAAAATTCTATCAAGTATAAATAAATCAGCTGCTAGCTGCTGCAAACTGCGAAATAGCCTAGTAAAAAAAAAAGAAACACTAACTGCTACAACAGTAGGACTGGCATATTATACCTATATTGCGTGTATCGTACAACTCGGTCGCGTAATCAGCCTATGGTCGTCGTAATCAGCTGACGGAACATAAACAATAAACACTGCGTAGATGTGTGGGCGGCGGACGACGTCGTGTACCACAACCATGGTCGGCGGGTGTTGCGGTGGAGGAGGCAACGGTTATTTTTGTTATTGTTTATAATCAAGGTGGACAACCACGGAATATATACAGATAATATATTTATTTTATTTTTGCCATTATCTATGTCAGCATTGTCAGCTGACTATATAGTAGTAATGTACTAATGTACTATATTTAAGGTGGCCAGATTTTAAAAACACCGAACCGGGACATCAATATGAATARCCTTTTTTTTCGTATAATTTGTTTACTATCATGTTCAATTGTAATTGTTGAGCGATCATAGTTTAATAAAAATAGTAAAAACTTTTTTTATATAACTATACGGAAATTAATAATATACCATATTTTAATTGAAAAATGTATTAACCAATACAATTTTTTACATAAACTACATTTACTGCATTTACATTTATTAATTATTAGTAATAACCTAGTGTTCATACTTTTC